AATTCTTCCTCATGCACGTCGTTCCATTGTCTCCAATGTGAGGAAAAACTGGTGCTGAAGGAGCATTATCAGCAAGTTGCGATGCACACCCAGTTGCAGATAACTGAACGTTTTTCTCCCGATATTGATTTATTTTTTCGGATCTGATCCTATCCTCTTCCTCCACATCAGCCTACGGAAGCATTTCGTTTTGTGATGCGAAAAATTTGTCAGTAATATCTGCAAGCTCACTGTCGGCTTGAATCTGTTTCGGCTGAGGTACAACTACTGTTATTAAACCGCGACGCGTCACCCTTTTTGGGACCTCTTCCTTTAACTCAGCCTTCTCAACCTTCTTTAACTCAGCCTTCTCTTTCCTCTTTAACTCAACCGCCTTCTTTTTCTGAGCCTTCCGTTGCCTTAACTCTGCCGCCTTTTTTCTCCTTAAATCAGCCGTCTCCTTCTTTCTTTCAGCCATTTCTTTCTTCTTAGGAGACGTCTCCTTCTTTCCTAAATGAGTCGTTTCTTCTTCTAAGGAGACGCCTCCTTCTTTCCTAACTTAGCCGCCTTGTTCTTCTTTCCTAACTCAACCGCCTCCTTCTTCCTTGCTAACTCAGCCGCCTCCTTATTCTTTGTTAACTGATCAGCCGCCTCCTTCTTTGCTAACTCAGCCTCCTCTTTGTCCTTCTCTTTAACCTCATCTCCTTTTAGTTTTAACTTTACATTGTTTCCGCGTCCTAAGGCTTGGTCCTTTGCAGGAGAAATACCAACAAAATCAACGTCGTCAACCAAATTCTTTTACACGGCCTTAGCAGGTGTACTATTGACAGAGGCCTTAGCAGGTGGAATACTGACAGAGGCCTTAGCAGGTGGACTATTGACTGAGTGCTGCGGAAAAGACTTCGGCGGTGGCAGCGGTGGCGGCGGTGACGGCGGAGGCAACGTTAAAGATTGTTCGGGAACTTTAGAGAAGTACTCCTCTACTGCAACTCTGACCAAATCAGCAATGTTGGTATCTCTGGACTCGATATCTCTGGACGTGATATCTCTAGAATCGATTCTGGATAACCGCGCTTTGAAGTTTTTGAATCTGTTATTGTAGCTGTCTATTTTTGAGGCAATTATATCCAGAGTATACATTAATCTCAACATTATCGGATTGTTGTCAATATCATCTGTACCTTCCTTCTCGCAAGCACCCTTTCCCTCCACAACAGCTTCATCCTCTTGGAAGCTGCTCACTTTCTTTTGCTTCTTAATGGGTGGCTCAGCCTTTGAAGAAACACCAGCCTTTGTTTGTTTGCGTTTCATATGTGTTCCCCAAAAACCTCTAACAAACCGACCTGTATATATGTATGTTATCAAGTTAACGAGTTGCGGGTCATCTGCTTCATCCGGCCACGGAGGAAACATCTCTTCTACGGAGTCCTTCATAACCATTTTTATCACGCGCACCTACAAAACCAGTCACCAAATACATAATAACTCAGCCATCAAAGTAATAATCACTCAGCCGTTAAAATTAATAACTCAGCATAAAAAAATAATAACTCAGCCACAAAGTACCAAAACTCAGCCACCATATAAACACTATCTCAGTCATAAAATAACTAATACCAAAAAACCCAGCCACTATATACATACTACTAACTCAGCCAAAAAATAACTAAAACCAAGAGGCTAAGATACTGTTTATATGGTGGCTGGGTTTTGGTACTTTGTGGCTGAGTTATTAGTTATTTTATGGCTCAAATACCAAAAACCCCAGCCTTACCTCGCCATGTTCTCTAATCTTCTCAGTAATGACAGTATCAAAACTTGAACATGTACGCTTTCCACCCCATCAAAAAAGTTGAACTTTTTGCTCATTGACCACTCTCCCAAAACGCTCTCCAAAATAAGTGATAGATTCATACGCCCAAACCAATAACACGTCCTTCAGACCGCTTATGGTGTATGTCCTTCCTTGTGGATTCAACATCTTGATAGACTCAATAAGAACTTCATATGCAGTCCGACCCCATGGATACGTCATCATGGCTTCATCGTCGAATACTCTTTTTGCACTTTCAAACGGTATCTTAGAATTATGATGCAAAGCATAAAGTCCCATGGGTTGAAGAAGTAACTCTAGGCTGGACATACCTCTAATGCTGCCCTCAGTTCATCTAACTTGGGTCCCACCCCAAGCGGCAGATTCAACTCCTCCCAAAACGCTTTGTATTGATCATGTTCAAAACTTTTTGTTGGCACTGGATCTGTGTTAAACCCGGTGGTCTCACCAAATTCGTGTTAGCTAAACTTGATAGGTTCATCACTCACTAGACTCCAAATCTCCTTCATGTATAATCAAAGCTGTCGACATAGTAGATAATGGACAGTCCTACCAGACCACACGCTTTTGCGTTCAGCTAGCTTAACAATAATTCCAAGAGGACCCTGCCTCATGTGATCCCACACATCTCGTCCTATTGCTTCTCTGACGTTAGGGAAATCTCTCATCTGCAAATTGTGATTTATCTCTTTATTTTCTAGATTAGAAGCCCCTTCAGCGTAAAGTCGTGGAGGATAATCTCGTGCTTGATCTTCAGAAATAGCCATCTGATCCTAAAACACATATATATAAATCAGCTGCAATAGAAACATAACTCAGCCACAACATAATAAATAACTCAGCCACCATATAACGCAGTCGTAATAGAAACAAAACTCAGCTAAAACATAATCAATAAATCAGCCAAAACATAATCAATAACTCAGCCAAAACATAATCAATAAGTCAGCCACAACATAATCCATAACTCAGCCACAGTAATCTATAACTCAGCCAAAACATAATCAATAACTCAGCCACAACATAATCTATAACTCAGTCGAAATGGAAAACTATATTTTCACAACACAAATCAAACTCAACTCAGCCACACTATACAATAACTCAGTTACAACATAATTTATAACTCAGCCACGTCGTAAATCAAACTCGGTCACAATATAAATCAAACTCAGCCACAACATACCATATAAGATGATGTCGTAGATACGATTGCGTCGAAACTTTTGCGGAGAAGAGGATGTCGACGAAGATGATATCGGAGATGATTTACGATATCAGAAACAGTTCGATACGAGAGTATTAACTGTGACGAAGATGATTTCGTGATTTCGTACTCGGTTAAGGTTTAACGAAAGTTGTGACGAAGAAGTTGTGACATTATGACTTTTTTTTTATTCACCGGCGATATGGGACGGTTGAATTTCCAGTGTAACTGTTGATGACAGAAATTAGTGACGTGGCTTTTCTAATTATGATGTGGATTTAATAATTAAATTTGTATCAGTAGTAACAAAATTAAATAAGGGTGTTTATTGTAATTTACTAGGAATCTGAAAACATTCTGGTAATTTTAGAAAATGTATACTATTCTAGTAATATACAAGCTTTTGTGTATCATTCTAGTAATTTTCTATTTTTACTATTGTAAGATTTAACTCAAAAAATATTGGTGACAAAACATTGTCATTATCCCACAGTCAAAATTCAAAACGATCGACATGATGATATTTTTCTATTACAAAAGTCTTGGTCAGAGAAGCCAAATCAGCATCATGATATTCTCTAACCAAATCTACATATGTGGATCAATTTCTTAAAGCACGAAGTTCCCATGAGAAACCAACCGGTAAGCAAAACCTCTAGAATCGAGCAGGAGGCTATGAATGTCCAACTACCTAGTAATATTCAATGATTCATGAAGTGTAGACAGTAGATTATGACTTTAGGTAACAAAGACTTGACCACCTCTGCTTTGTTAATCCACATCCCTCTTTAGGAATGCAAGTTCTACGAGCAGGATCGGTCCAAACTTATTAAAGATCCTACACAAATTAAAATTTTTGAAGATTTTTTGTAAGTAAAAAAAATTCAAAAAAAATTGTGCTATCTTTCTTAAGCTAAAAAATCTCAATAAAATGTGGTCCTAAACAGATGATTACTTTACCTATGCTATGGGCCGGACTTGTCTGCGAGATTCACCATGTTTCATCTGCATGACCTTACCGCTGGACGGTCCAAGTTGTTGGCGACAAAGGAATGACAGTTGCACATGAGTATGTTTATGAATGGTGTGTGGCTTTTCTCGGTGCATCACGCCAACAATCTGACGAAGGAATGTCAGTGATACAGCGAACTATTTACCAGAGGTGGTTAGATCAACTGAAAAAGACCATAACCATTATGTTAGAAGTTTTCAGTTCGATTGATTACTGTGAGGAAACTAATATATCATGTTATAGTTTCGGGTGTGTGGAATTATGGAATTTCATAAAGTAATACTTGAACAAAACCTCCTGATATTAAAAAAAAAAAAAATTATGAATGATGAAGGCTAGTGAACCTGTTTGGCTCTTTCGTTTGAAGAAATACTTCACGGATGATAAAATGGAATTAAACGCTTAGGTACTCCTGCCCGAAAAAAATGATCTGAGATACTCCTACCCGAACTGCCCGGATTTGGAATTTAATATATTTGTATTTAAATTCAAAAATTTATCAAAAGACCACGGACCCAACAGAAGCTTACATAATTACAACCCAACCAGAGCCATTTTGCGGACCATCCAGACCCGATCCATAAATTCGGATCTATTTCTCCATAACTTCTGAAACCTTTGTAAGACTTAGTGTAATCGTAAACTTTGGTGTAACTGTGTAGCGTAATAAAACCTGAACAAATAAATACTGGCTCAGTTATAAAGTTATGCTAAATTGAACTAAATCGCACATTTAGGAGTACTCCACATTTAGATTGCAATTTATTATTACGTTATTTGTTCGGCCACATGTGTTGTTATTGATATATTTAATGAAGTTCAAATAAAAAAGAGTTGTTTGAAGAAGAAATCGAGAGGAATTAGATAATGTTTATAGATAAAACTAGAGAAATAACAGAGCATATTGTGAAGAGTAATTTACATAACTTAGTAAAAATAGATAAAACTTCTATGTCATAAACACTCAACTAATCTTCAATGGGCCAGGCACGAGCAGTTAAGTGTATGGCATAGCAGAACTCCCAAGCTGCACAATTCCAGAAACAACGATCGCATTTCCACCGCAATCTTGATCCATCTAGGGAGACTATAAACATTGGAGGGTCTAGGTTGGAGCACCAGCAAGAATGTGGCACATTAGGATCTATCCTTTCAGCCACAGATATAAACGTGGGAGGTTTTTCGTAATCCCAGTTGTGTCCGATTTTCCAACCAGTGATGATTTGAAACATCTCGTCAACATGTTGATGAGTAAAAGCAGGGTAGTTGTGAACAATTCCTCTACCATCAACGCTAAATGCTAAGTTCATCATAGCATCTACAAATTGTGCCAACACGCACCCTCTCTCAGCAGCACGATGTATTTTTTCCCTTCCTTCATCAAGTAAATGGAGGAAGAAGTACTCGTACATACCTCTCAGATAGATTGCCTCAGGATTACCCAAACGGTAGCATTTAACCTTGAAAGCTCGAATAGCATTGACCTCGTTTGCCCAGTCATTGAAGAAAATGAGATCAGCCGATCTATAGAAGTGATCATCTCTTCCCACTTCATTGAACCCCGGAAAAGCAATCCTTGCACAACCAAAGTCCCGGATACCGGTCATTAATACTTTAGAGAGAATCTTATGAAGCATTGAAGGAGGGAGAGAAGTCAAGTTCACGTTGTCCATGTTTAACGCGAGTGTCTAACTGAGAATTCTGTGTCTCTGAGAAAAGAAAACGGTTAATGGTGAGAGAAATGAGAAATGACAAGTTTGTACAAGTGATAAACCCTTAAAAATTAATGAACCACTGTGTCTATTTAAGTGTGATTTGATGGACTCCTCGAGAAGACACGACTTCTCTCACACGCCTTCTGAATATCTACACTCGCATCTCTTGGAATTGTAACTTTGTATAAGATATATAACTATATATAAAGTAAGTGAAACTAAGATATATAACTATATAAGTAAGTGAAAGTAATTGAATGAAAATGGTAATATTAAGGTTAAAGAAAAACCTGTAAATATAGGATATATTAAATGAAAATGGTAATATTAAGGTCAAATAAAAACCTGTAATTATGGAGTTGGGTGATTTGATGGACTACTCGAAAGAACACTACTTCTCTCATGAAAATGTCTAGTTTCGAAGTCTCTCTTATAATCATTACACTTGCATTCAAATGCGACAACACTACACCGTCATTAAGTAGTAGATCATCATAACCATTGCATTTAAACTCCACTTCGAACCCCGAGAAACATAACCACTCCAACTTATCTCACACGCTTTCTGACTGCAAATTTAAGATATATAAATATGTAAACGTAAGTGTAAACGTAAGTGAAACTCGGGGAGATCACGGGCTAGATTTATGAAACTAAGAAAAACGTAACAATTTAGATTGTATTAAAATTTGAAACTATACAAAACTTAACGAAATTTTTGATATTATATCGTTTTATTTTTAAAAAGATGGTCAGTTTCCAAAATGGATTATAGTTAGTGAATATATTTAGAGTTCATATATTTAATGATAGCAACTAGCAGTGTAGGAGATAATAAATGAAAAGGATAATATTAATTTTGAGAAAAAGCCTCGTCGAAAGAACACGACTTCTCTTGTGAAAAAGTCTCTTTTATACGCCACATCTCTTAGAATTCTCCATCTCTTGCATTTATAAGAATTCTGCATTTAAACACTCGCCGTTACGGAATCTCCTCTCTCATCTCTTCTCTAATCTCCTCTCTCATCTCTTCTCTCATCTCTCAACAAAGAAGATGGCAGAGTACAATAAGCTTTCCCAAGTTACTTTTAACCCCATGACCAGGGCTTGGCGTTTCAGAGTGCAACTACACAGGATCTACCATTACGCGATTACCAAACTTGGGACTTACTATAAGTATATCCTCGCAGATGAAGATATAAGTGTTATATCATCATCTCTCAAGTGTGTAATAAACATGTAACCGTGAGAAATAAAAACTTGATCCTTGTAACATGTAATAAACATGACCTTTTGTACTTTATTTATGTAGGGATACAAGATGGAGATGACCACTGGTGGGTATTATCCAAATTTTAGAGGCCTTGAGAAGGAAGAGGGAAGATGGGTGGAAATCTTTGTGGTACAAGTTGAACGGACCTACCCAGGTTTCCAGCCAACTAGGTCTCCGTTCAGACTAAATGCTACGCGCTGTACGCAAGTCCGCATCATCGAACCTCTGAACAGTCGTCTTTTCTTGGACTTCAAAATCATCCATGAAATCCCTCGCATGCACTGGCGTGACCTCAAATATCCCATAGGTATGTTGGTTATCTTGGTTTCAGAACTTTGTATAACTATGTAGATGTAAGTGAAACTGAGTGAAACAAACTGATTTAGTTGAGTAATCTCTCAACAGTCGCATATCTTTGTTTCAGAACTTTGTATAACTCTGTAGATGTAAGTGAAACTAACTGATTTAGTTGAGTAATCCCTCAACAGTCGCATATTGTGGTTTCAGAACTTTGTATAACTCTGTAGATGTAAGTGAAACTAAGTGAAACTAAGTGAAACTAACTGATTTAGTTGAGTAACACTTATATGGTAGATACAATGGGAGTGGTCTTCAACACAGAAGCCTATCTCGATGCCCCTTCAGGACCAAGGATGAAGTTTTACATAAGAGACAACATGTGAGTATAAAGTAACATATGATCCAAGCAAAATTTATATATATATATTGTAACTGACCCACTTTTTCTTTATTCTGAATAGTGACCATCAGATAAAATGTGTGGTGACCGGCAATCGGGCCTATGCCTTCCGGGATGGTCTTGATTACATGAGTGGTGGGGGTCGTAGACAGGTGATTGTGGCCCTTAAGATGTGGAGAGTCTGGAAATTTATCTGTAAGTCTTGTTTCTGTGACTAGTTTTAAATGTGATAGTTGAGTAGAACTTTTACTAAAATGACTTATACAGGTTTATTTTGGTCCTCCTGAAATATGGCTTGAGACCGAAGGTGGATTTGCGAAGTTCAGGTTCAATCCGCGTTTTCCCGAGGTTGAGGAATTCAAGCAGTCTCTACTAAACAGCGACCCTTATGTTCAGAAATATGGGGTTGAAGGTCTCGTGTACATGTTTAATGTCGGATTCAACTTTGTTTAAATGTCGATAAAACTATGTGTTAATGTTATATTTTCGATCTCTCTATTTTTCCAACTTTATAGTTAAGACAAACTTAAGACAAAGTTCAATTGTTCAACTTTCTAAACTTAAGACAAACTTAAGACAAACTTTATAGTTTCACTTAATGTTGACAGAAAAGTTTCCAGGAATCACTTATTGTACATCATAATTCCTAGAACTAAAACGACTGTAAGAAGAACACAACCTCCAGATATCTTGGAACTCGTCATCAGACCTTCACTCCTTATTGTTGCTTTGAGAAGTTTAACTTCTTCTTCGAGCATTCGAACTTGGCAATCCAACTGTTGTATCTCATCGGTGAAAGCTTCATCAACCCATTTGAAAACGTGATTATCGTTCTCAAGCTACGACATGGATATTTTCAAAATGAGTAAGCATAATTAAACGATTTTGTGGTTTTAGAAAATTGGGAAGAAGGAAATTCGAAATTCGAAAAGCTGGGCATACCCTTGGTGAAGCCGCATAGAGACACCTATAATACCGGCGAAATGGGTTTGGTTTGCTTTTCGAGATGAGCTCGGTGATTCCCACCCCGCACCAGCACTTAATAGGTATTCCCGGAGTTCGTACTCGTGTCCGACCACCGGTCGTGGAAGATGAAGCGGTGGACATCTCTGTGAGTTCTAGGAGAGGAATGTGAGAGAGAGAGAGAGAGAGAGAGAGAGAGAGAGAGAGAGAGAGAGAGAGAGAGAGAGAGAGAGAATGATTTGAGAGAAAGAGAGAGAGAGAGAATGATTTGAGAGAGAGAAAATGGAAGATAACAAATGGAGGAAAACCCAAAAAAATGTCTTTAATACTTCAATTAAACGATTTTGTGGTTTTAGAAAATTGGGAAGAAGGAAATTCGAAATTTGAAAAGTTGGGCGGGAAAATTTATCCCAGCGAATTTCGCAGTAAGTTTCACCAAGTTTTCAGTTTTACGAAAAAACATCAAAGTTGCACTTTTTAATTATTTCCATTTATCTTGGTTATACTCTACTTGAATCACTGATTTTTTGTTTACACCAATTAAATTATGTTTCCTAGATTCATTTCTCATACAACCATATACACATAAACTTGATTTCGTGCCATACTAAGTTTTCAAATGTAATGAGGTCAGTTTTTGCCAAAAGGCTACAATAACACAGTGTATTTCCTATACGACCAAGCAATTAGATGTAATTTTAATCAAATCATAATTAATGTAACATTAATAATAAATAACCATATCATTACTTCAGTGACTTAGTAATTAACGTAACATTAATAATAAATAACCATATCATTACTTCAGTTATACCAGTAACGAAAACAACAAGTTTCACTTAGTTATACAATACACAAATACAAATTATTAGACCAACCACAACGGTAACAAAAACAACAAGTTTCACTCGGTTTTCGTGTTTGGGTTAGGGAAAAAAAATCATTTTCGCACGAAGGAGAAAAAAAAAAGAGAGAGCTCTCGAGAGAAGGCGATTTGAGGCGATTGAAACAACAAATCGAACATGTAAGATTGTTTCCATTTCAATTTGGGTGTTGTTTTCCTTTAGTTTTACCATTTGGTTTTGTGTTTTCAACGATTTCGGAAAATTTTGGTTTCAAAGTAGGGTTTCAAAAATTGGGGATTTCAATCGATTTGTTGTTTCAATCGATTGGGGGATAGTAAATCCGAACATGTAAGATTGTTTCCATTTCAATTTGGGTTTCAGTCGACTGGGGATAGTAAAACCGAATATGTATGATTGTTTCCATTTCGTTTCTTGTTTGCAGATGGCGAATCAGCATGAACCTCACTTCTTGAAGCCTCTGCTTCCTGGTTTCTACAGTGGCGTGGTATACACACGCTCTCTATTTCTCCTTTGTTTATGTCTTTGCTTAACTTCTCCTTTTTTAACTTGTAGGGAATACCACTTGCCTTCTACTCAAAACACATAGAAGGAAAACCGAACCAAGGAAAATGGACACTACGATCGGATGCTTCACACAAAACTTGGGAAGTTATACAAGAAGGAAGAAGACTCACCGATGGTTGGAAAGCCTTCGCCAAAGCACACTCCCTTCGCATCGGTGACATTGTCGTGTTCAAAAAGGAAGGAGACATGGTCTTTCATGTGACTCCTTTCGGTCCTAGTTTTACTGAGATTCAGTATACACCTCCTCAAGGGGATGATGCTGCGGATGGTGCTCCTTTTTTCTCATTTGACTATTGTTTTGTTGCTGAGGTCACTCCGTCAAATCTCTCTGAAGACAAACTTGTGAGTAGTTTACTTTATGTGTCTGAATTTAAAATCTTCGTGAAGATACACTTGTGATATGTTATGTGTCTTTACCTTCTTTGTTTGCAGCATCTTCCTGTGGAGGCTACGCGGTGTACTACTCTGAACAATCGATGCCAAGAAGCGAAACTGGTGAACAAAGAGGGGAAGTCATGGTTAGTCAGTTTGCGATTTAACGAAGCAGGCGGCATGTTTTACATCGGAAGAGGCTGGAGAAGGTTTTGTGTTGATAACAGAAGCACCGTAGGAGACTTATTTGTCTTCAATGTGGTTGGATATGGGGAAACTTCTCCATTTCTGTGTGTATGTACGGAAAGGAAAGAGTGTACTAACTTACTAACCAACTACTTGAGCAGCAAGAATGGTGCCACAACTTCCTCGTCTCTTCCTAAATGATGCATGTTTGTCTTGCTATTGTCTTAGTGTATAATCTGCTTGTAGTGGACTTGTAATGGATGATCAACTCATCACTCTTAATCAACTCTTATATTTTATTATTTTTTTATTCTTAAGGACTCCTAATTGGATAACACCATTGGACTAAAAATTTAGATTAGAATCCTTAACTATTCAAAAAAAAAAACTACTTAAATAATGATAAGGATTCTTTTTAGAGGTACACCATTGTACATTGTCTTACCTATATGACCAAACAATAAGATGGAATTTTAATAATTCAATTAACCATAATTAACATAACATTAACAATAAATAACCATCTTAGTACTTCAGTGATTTATTACTCAGTTTTTCCATTGTAGTTATACCAGTAAAGAAACCAAGTTTCACTTAGTTATACAACACACAAATACAAATTGATTCCCTCACAATGTTCCCATAAGATAAAAACACCAAAACAAAACTGCAACCGAAAGGCTTACAACCTACTCTTCTTCTGTTTCTTATGGGGATGTTCATCGTGTTCCAAACCAATGCCCACATTCTCTTCTTCTCCATATCCACTCCCACGCTCACAATAGTTCCTACTACAAGAGCTCTCTACGACTCTTGATAGTTGCTCGGTTATTTGAACTATTTGCAATTCTTCGATGTCCTCCACATGCAAAATACTTCTTCTTTGCTCTCTATCCACTGATGTTAGATAAACAAACACATCTTCATCATCCAAAATATATGATTGCCTATTAGGTTCCACTACCAATGGGATGTAACCCAAACTGAGTCTCTTCATAAACGGATCTATTTCCATCTTCCTGCATATCTTCTCCTTCAACATCAAATAAGTGATCTCCTCCAACGATGATGTCTTAAAGGATATAGCATACAAACGACCATCGGTTGGAATCCATTCATAATCATCTCCATCCTTCGAATAATGTCCATCATAATCAAAGTGTATGTTCGTCGAAAAAAGACTCATTGTCTGCAATATAAAAAAAAAGTTAAACCCCTAAAGTTATACTTGGTTATACAGTTATACCATCAAAGTTATACTTCGTTACACCATGTTACACAGTTGTGTCAGTAGTCAATTAGTAATCGGCCAACGTCTAATCTTCTTTGATTGAATCGTCTTTTCATTCCTGACATTCAATCATACAGTTTTTTATTATTTTTTGATTATCCAATTGAGTAATAAACTGACCATCCACACTTTCATTCCTTTCTGATCTTCGATTAGTGAATAAGAAATTTCCAGTTACAATGACTCGAGTCTTTTAAACAGCTTTGATTCCGGACATTCAATTATACGGTTGTTGATTATCGAATTCCTTAATAAGTAGACCATTCAAACTTTTCGATCTTCCTCGATTAGTTCATACACAAATACGAAATCTTCTATCTAATCGAAATCCCTGTGACGATTTGAGATACATACCCTGTTACACTGAATCAAAAGCGACAAGATCGCAATAACATGCAAGGAGGAACAAGGGAATGTTCTGAGAAGACTGGACTCGACTAATACTCTAGAAGAAGAACTCCTCGACAACGGCTCGATGAAAATTGGGAGAACTGGAGAGAGATAATTTCGAATTATTCATTAAACAATTTATTAAATCGGTCATGGGCATTTTTGACATTAACCACCATCCTTGAGAATATCAGAATAAATAAGAGTACTCCAGATTTTGTGAAAGTATGTTAGATCATTTTTTGCCTCATCAAGAGCATCTAAAGTATTCTCTCGATAAAATGTATACGACATAACGTTCGACCCTTATTATTAAACGGCAAGCTGTTTTGTTACGAAACGTCCAATACGGCGTCGTTTTCAACCAATACTGACCCGCAGAGATTCTAGCGTCGCCTAGTTCTGGAAAATTCATCGCTCTCTTCGCACATACCGATACAAATCTGCCACTGAATGGTACATCTGCTCCGACGTTAAACAAAAGATGAGGAAACGCGATTTGGCGATTTTGATGCTCTCTGGATTTGCAATCTTCTTCACTCTCCAGGTGATTTCCCCCTCACTAATCACTGTTTAGAACCATTCATCGATCTGTTTCGAGAGCTTAGAAATCGATCTAGAATTGTAGAGTTTCTCAGATGGAATCGTATTTTGATTATTGATTGTTGCTCAGCATGAGGGTGACTTTGCGTTCAAAGAAGCATGGTTCCATTTGTACGATGATTACCCAGTCAAACACGAATCCGATCGTCTTCCTCCTCCTCTTATTACTGATCTTAACGGCGATGGCAAGAAGGAGGTCCTCGTCGCTACAAACGATGCTAAAATTCAGGTAAAACTAATGATTTTCCAGCTTAGTTCTCTTTATGGATCAGATGCTAAGCTGTTGATGTTTTGATGGATTAGGTGCTGGAGCCTCACTACAGGCGTGTGGATGAAGGTTTCAGCGAAGCACGTGTTCTTGCTGAGTTCTCCCTTTTGCCTGACAAGATCCGTGTTGCTTCCGGGAGACGCGCTGTGGCCATGGCCACTGGTGTTATTGATAGGTACTATAAAGATGGGACACCACAGAAGCAGGTTTTGGTCGTTGTTACCTCTGGTTGGTCTGTGCTCTGCTTTGATCACAACCTTAAAAAGCTCTGGGAGACGAATCTGCAGGTTTCTTTTTTATCCTCTTTGTCTTTTCTCTATGTTATTATTGTCTTCTTCGTATTGATGATATTGATTGGAATAACAGGAGGATTTTCCACATAATGCACACCATAGAGAGATTGCAATTTCGATAAGTAATTACACATTGAAGCACGGGGATACCGGTCTGGTTATTGTTGGTGGACGGATGGAGATGCAGCCTTATGTATGTACTTTCTTTTGTTGATTTCCTGTTCAGTTATGATTTTGTGTTAATCAACTTTCTTTTGTTGATTTCCTATTCTTTGTCGTTTTAGAATCATATGGACCCATTTGAGGAACTTGACATTACAGAACGAAATGCTGAGCAACACAGAAGAAGTGCTACTGATAAACAGGTACACCAAAGATGTGCTGTTATTATATTTGCTAGAAATTAAGATGTTAATATTTCACTGTGTTTGGACTTTTAAGAATAAATTTAAGCTTTCTTTCAGCCCTCTGAAGATTCTGGAGCTGTAAACTTGCGTCACTTTTCTGTTTATGCATTCGCTGGCCGGACTGGTGTTCTTCGATGGAGTAAAAAGACTGATGTCAGTTATTTCTCCTTTCTGACCTCTTTTTTTCTCCACATATTTTTGCTTAACAATCAGATTCTTGCCTGCAACAAATTTGGTGGCCAGATTGATAGAATATTGTTTTTCTTCTCTTCTAGGATGTTGAAGCTCACACCTCAGATGCCTCACAATTAGTTCCCCAACACAATTACAAGCTCGACGTGCATTCTATAAATAGCCGTCACCCTGGAGAGGTAAGTTCTCCATAGCAATATAGCTAACCTATTCTAGTTGCCTTTTAAGAGATTTATAGTGCATTATCATCACTTAATTGCATTGGAACTTCTGGAATGAAGTTTGAGTGCAGGGAATTTAGAGAATCAATTCTTGGTGTTATGCCTCATCACTGGGTATGTCTTTTGTTTCCTACTTCGTGCTTACTTAGTCTAATATGCTTTAAAATAATCGTTTTGAAGTACGGTGTTGTTTTTGTATCAGGACCGACGGGAAGATACATTGTTAAAGCTTGCTCATTTCAGGCGACACAAGAGGAAAACATTGAAGAAGCAAGCTGGTAAGTCTGCAACTTTTCCATTTCACAAACCTGAGGAACACACACCAGCTGGGAAAGACTTGTCGAGAAAGATTCCGAAATTGATTGGGAAGGCTGCACGCTATGCTGGCTCAGCAAAACCTAAGAAGGTGAAAGATCTTATAAACCGTAAAGTAGCCTCGTGTAAATACCCCTTATCGGATATGACAATAACACACATGTTGATGCAGGGCATGCAATACATACCGACTATTACTAACTACACTAAGCTTTGGTGGGTTCCTAATGTTGTTGTGGCTCACCAAAAAGAAGGAATTGAAGCTATTCATTTGCCGACTGGTAGAACTCTTTGCAAGGTAGCTTGTTCCTTCAGATCATAAACAAGTTTACTATATCACGTACCCGTTTATTATATGTAAACTTCTTTAAATGCTTCTTGTCTCCAGCTTCATCTGCTTGAAGGTGGGCTTCACGCAGACATAAACGGAGATGGTGTTCTCGATCATGTCCAGGTACACATTACACGTCTCTCCCGCTTTCGCTTTACCATGGATCTTCAATTTTTACGACCATGTATCCTCTGTGTGCACCTTAGGCTGTCGGAGGCAATGTTGGAGACAGAACTGTAGTTAGTGGATCAATGGAAGTGTTGAAGCCTTGCTGGGCAGTGGCAACCTCAGGCGTTCCCGTCCGTGAACAGCTCTTCAACGTCTCGATATGCCAGCACGCCCCCTTTAACTTCATGCACTACGGAGAGTTTTCACGAAACTTTGCTCAGACAAGAGACACATCATCCTTGGAGATTGCAACTCCCATTCTCATCCCCAGAGATGACGGTCATAATAAACACAGAAGAGGAAGTCACGGCGATGTAATTTTCTTGACAAACCGTGGAGAGGTACTTTTTTCTGTGATCCAATCTTTTATTAATTTCTTGAACCTTTAAATCTCGCTCTTTATAGCTCATTTCTTTTCGTGTCAGGTGACATCATACACGCCTGATGTCCACGGCCGCGAGCCGCTCTGGCAATGGCAGCTTCAGACAGACGCCACATGGTCGAATCTTCCGTCTCCATCAGGTTTAACTGAATCAGGGACAGTGGTCCCAACCCTGAAACCATTCTCGTTGCGCATTCATGATAACCAGCCTATGGTCCTTGCCGGTGGAGATCAAGTGGCAGTCATCATATCTCCAGGAGGAAGCGTGTTAGCTTCCATCGAGTTACCGTCGCAGCCAACTCATGCACTTATAACTGATGACTTCTCCAACGACGGATTAACAGATGTGATTGTGATGACATCAAATGGTATTTACGGGTTCGTTCAAACCAGACAGCCAGGGGCTCTGTTCTTTAGTTCGTTGGTGGGATGTCTCTTAGTAGTAATGGCAGTTATTTTCGTTACTCAGCACTTAAACTCCGTCAAAGGTAAGCCTCGACCTTCCTCTGGCTTTTGATAAATAAAACCTCAGGGGGTTTTCTTCCTCTCTGCGGAAGTTGCACCGGTCACATTAGCGGCGGCGCTTTACACACTGGTTTAGGTATACCGGTGTAGATTCGGTGTTTCAGCTTTGTAATTTTATTAATATACTTTTACAGAATTCTGAAAGTGAAAACGGTAGAGGCGAATGTAGGACTTTTTGTTTCTCTCAGTTTTAATGTTTAAGTTGCAATTGTTGCTGTGACATTTATTTAGTTAAGAGGTCTTGAAAAGAAAAAGAAAGTCTTATTTTTGAGAAATATATCGTAGTTGTTTCTTTTCCTTGATATATAAACTGCGTAATCCTTTTCGTTCATGGGACTCATCTTACATTTTAGGTGAAATAACAAATATTTAGAAAGATACTTTTACCTAAAACTATTAGTGAAAATAGAAATTTAAACTAATCCAACTATTTACAATGGTCAATTCTCCAAAATAGAACTTTTGGAGAATAGAACTTTTTTTAATAACACTTCCACTTGAAGTTTAAGCAAAAAAAAAAAAAAAACTTCCAGTTGAAAATCACAAAAATAACATTTTTAATACGCTAAAAATCTTTAATATTTCTACATATCAATATCAAAAAAGAAATTTAACCCCTAAAACACGAACTTTATATCTTAATATCAACTCTAAACATTACAATCAACACTAAACCCTGAACACTAAAAATACTAATGCTAAACCTTCAACCCTTAACTATAAAACATCAATCATAAACCCTAAAACATCAATTTTAAACTCTAAACCTCAATTTTAAACTCTAAACCATCAACATTGAACAGTAAACCCTAAAAGTAAATTCTAAAGCATTATCACTAAAAAATTTACGATAAATCATAAACTTCGATTATAAACCCTAAACTCTAAACCTTACAATCCACACTAAAGCCTAAACTCTAAAACCAAACCCTAAACCACAATTCTAACTCTAAGCCTCAATTCTAAACGCTAAATCATCAACACAGAACCCTAAACCCTAAAAATAAACTCAAGACCTTTGACCCTATAAAATTATCTTAAACCTTCGACTCTAAAACATAAACTATAAATCCTAAACTTCATTTCAAAACCCTAAACCCTAAAACCTCAACTCTAAGCTTTACTATCAACACTAAACCCCTAAACCTTCAAATCTAAACCCTAAAACATCAACTCTAAACCCTAAACCCTCAATTCTAAACCCTAAACCATCAAACAGAACCCTAAAACCTAAAAATACACTCTACATCCTTAACCCTATAAAATAACCCTACACACTAAACCTTCAACTCTAAACCCTAAAACATAAACTCTAAACCCTAAAACATAAACTCTAAACCCTAAACTTCAATTCTAAACCCTATACCCTAAAACCTAAACTCCAAACATTACAATCAACACTAAACCCTAAACCATAAAAATAAGCTCTAAACTTTACTATCAACACTAAACCCTAAACCATAAAAATAAACTCTAAACCCTAAACCACAGTTCTAAACCCTACACCATCAACACTAAACCCTAAAAATTTACCCTAAATCCTAAACCCTAAACCTTCAAACCTAAACTCTAAAAGTAAACCTAAATCCTAATCAACCCTAAACCCAAACCCCTAAAACATCAACACTAAACCCTAAACCCTAAAACATCAACTCTAATCTTAAACTCTAAACCTTAAATTATATCTTCAATTCTATTTTAAACCTTAAACTTTATCTAGAAGATTAATATATTATCTTGAAGCCCATCCAGAACACGCTCATTGTTTTCCTAAATTCTAAGCCCATTCTATCATGAACATTAATATATCATCCGAATTTTAATATATTAAGGGTTTTGGGGTTTATGATTCGAATTTTGGAAAAATATATGGTTTAGGGACTAAGGGTTAAAGTTAAGGGTTTAGATTTAGGGTTTAAATTTTATGTTTCAGGGTTTAGGGTTTATAGTTGAAGTTTCAAGGTGTAAAGTTGAAGTTTCAAAGCTTAGGGTTCTAGAATTGATGTTTCAGGTGTTACAGTTGAAGTTTCAGGGTTTAGGATTTATAGTTGAAGTTTCAAGGTGTAAAGTTGAAGTTTCAAAGCTTAGGGTTCTAGAATTGATGTTTCAGGTGTTAGAGTTGAAGTTTCAGAGTTTAGGGTTTAAAGTTGAAGTTTCAAGATTTAGGGTTGTAAAATTAATGTTTCAGGGTTTAGAGTTCTTGAACTGATGTTTCAGGGTTTAGAGTGGAAGTGTCTGGGTTTAAGGTTTAGAGTTGAAGTTTTAGGGTTTAGGGTTTTAGAGTTGATGTTTTAGTGTTTAGGGTTTAGAGTTGAAATTTCAGGATTAGGTTTAGAGTTAAAGTTTCAAGGTTTAGAGTTGATGTTTTAAGGTTTAGGGTTTAAAGTTGAAGTTTCAAGATCTAGGGTTCTAAAATTGATGTTTCAGGGTTTAGAGTTGAAGTTTAAGGGTTTCAGGTTTTAGAGTTGGATTTTCAGGGTTTAGGGTTTAGAGTTGAAGTTTCAGGGTTAGGGTTTAAGAGTTGATGTTTCAGGGTTTAGGGTTTAGAGGTAAAACATCAGGGTTTAGGGTTTTAGAGTTGATGTTTCAGGATTTAGGGTTTAGAGTTGAAGTTTCAGTGTTTAAGGTTTTAGAGTTGATGTGTCGGGGTTTAGGGTTTAGAGTTGAAGTTTCAGGGTTTAGGGTTTTTGAGTTGATGTTTTATGATTTATGGTTTAGAGTTGAAGTTTCAAGGTTAAGGTTTATAGTTAAAGTTTCAGGGTTTAGGGTTTAGGGTTGATGTTTCAGGGTTTAAAGTTTAAATTTGAAGTTTCAAGGTTTAGGATTTTAGAATTGATGTTTGAGGGTTTAGATTGGAAGTTTCAGGGTTTAAGGTTTAGAGTTGAAGTTTTAGAGTTGATGTTTCAATGTATAGAATTTAGAGTTGAAATTTCAGGGTCAGGGTTTAGAGTTGAAGTTTCAGGGTATAGAGTTAACGTTTCATGGTTTAGAGTTAAATTTTCAGGGCTTAAGATTAGATTTGATGTCTGATGATTTAGATTTTAGAATTGAAGTTTTAGAGTTGATTGTTTAAGGTTTATAGTTTAGAGTTGAAGTTTCAAGATTTAAGGTTTAGAGTTGTTTGTTTAGGGTTTAGGTTAATCATAAAAAATTTTGTCGAGATTAATCAAAAGATTATAAAGGAAATGAATAAAAAGGTAATTAGTCAATTTAAATAAAACATTGAAGGTTTAGATTGGGAAGTAAAAGTTGGTTTAGGTCTATATAAGTCTTTTTTCATTTATAAATACTATAAAATATAATTGGTTGCACAATTTTTAATATAACTAAAAGTGATTTAAGAAATTGTAAAGATCTTATATTTTAAAACATTTAAAATTATGTTTAACATCTTGGTTTTTGAAACGAATGAAGTAGTATACAAGTTAAAGTAGATAACCAGGTTTAGTTTGCCAAATTGATATTTTAACATTTTTTAAAAATAATTGGTTATTTGGCGATGAGATATGCGATTCTTCTCTGAATCGCTCGATCAATGATTATGATCAATCTGATCAGATTTTTGATGATTACGTTGTCTTTCATTCTTCTCTTTACTGGATAAGAATTTTATTTACAGCGGACTGAAGGTTAGTTTCTGTTTTTTTCAATACGATGTTGCAATCTCCGAGATGGTTTTGATGGCCATGATTGATGACAAGACAACCAATCAAATTATGTTGATTTTCGAATCAAGTAATTTGCTAAGGAGACAACGTCCACTAAAAAAACCTCCATGGAAGAGACAACACCACAAAAGTGAAGTTTTAATCTCTTTGTTGTATGGCGATATTCTTACAATCGTTGAACATTGGGTTTTTCAATCTTTATTTTTTATGCGTGAGTCAATATATTGGACTCTAAACGAAGAATATATATAGATCTAAATTGGATTAGAACCAGTGTAATACAACAAAGAGAATCGATGTTTCTAATGCGACAAAGATTTAAAGATCGCAAGAAAACCGATAGAGTCGATACTCTATTAATAAATCCCTCTGAAAGAGTATCATCTTCTGACTCTTTTACATGGGTTCTATTGTTTATTTCCTTATTTTACCTATGTTGTTTGTTGTATTTCATTATAATGTAGTATGTATTTGTAAAACTTCGTGACAATATCTTATATAATAAAGCTAAGTTCTTAAAAAAACCAGGTTTAGCTTGCTAGTAAAAATTGATGGAGCAATGTGATTAAAATTTATTGAGTTTTGGACCACGCTACTGGGAGGCATGAGTGGCTTAATAATTTACGCCAGGTTAATATCTACACATTTGCGCGGGATAGGAATTATATAAATAAATTATTTTATGTTTTATTTTTTATTTTGTGTTTTTATATATTATATAATAATATATATATATATACTGAATAATTGAAAAATCTGTAACATTATATATACAATTAATTTAGTGAACACTTAAATAAAATAATCATATTTGTTTATTTACAATCATTTTATAAAAGTAAATCTAATTAATAAATGATATTAACATATATATATATATATATATTATACTTTTAATTTGGATATCTAATAAATGAAGCTTCACACTTATATGGTTTTATGATCATTTATATATTTTTATAATAAAATATTTTAAAATATTGATAACATCATTTTTAATGTGAGAGATTTAATATTTACAGTAATGTATCATCGTTTAAAAAAATTAAATTCAAAATTTGTATTTAAAGTATTGAGTTCTCAATACTTGTTCAATGTAATTTTGGAATTAAATATTTATGTATTTTAAATGGTATTTAGTTTAATTTAAACATCACTATAATATATATATATATACATATACATCTAGTTTAAATATCTATTAAATGATATTTCTTACTCATTAATTATATAATTGTTTGTATCATGCTATAACAAAAAATTTAAACTATTAGTCAAAATATTATATGTGAAATTTTAAATTTTTCTAGTAATTTATAGTCGTCTTTAAAAATTCAAAATATAACATATATAAAAAATCTATTTTTTTGTTATATAGTTAATGTCATTGTTTAATTTATTTCACAATATTTAACAAAAAGAATAGAGGCTATAGAATTTTTTATCAATCTTTCATATTCAAAATCATTAATTATCACATATATATTATAACCATATTAGGTAATTTCGTAAATTTTATTTAAGGAAATAACACTACCAGAAAACTAAGCCTTTACTAGGAAATTTTACTAGGAAAAATGTTCCTCGTAAAATTA